GCCATTTAATAAGGAAACATGAAATTCGCAAGAATGGTGAGGACCCTTGGGTTTTTTTGGTGGTGTATACAAGCCCTGATAATACTATTCGTCGTGATCTGTGGACTGAGTTAGAGAAAATTAAAGATAATCACCTTGGTCCGTGGTTGGTGGCGGGTGATTTTATTGAGACGTTGAGTCTCAGTGAGAGAAACGGTGCTGGTAGGTCTGAGATGCTGCGACGTTGTCGAAATTTTGCTAATTGGGTTGAAAATATGGAGTTAATTGATTTAAATTGTTCTAGTCTAGAACATACGTGGTTTAGGGGCAACTCCCCTGCCACTTTCAAATCTGCAAGACTTGATCGAGCCTTGGTTAATGATGCTTGGCGCCTTAAATTCCCTGAAGGTGCTCTGAAAAATCTTCCCAAATCGAAAAGTGATCACTGTCCAATTTTGGGGAGTAATTCTGGTTTTGCTCCTATTCTCGGGTATCTTAAACCGTTTCGGTTTCAAGCCGCTTGGATGAACCATGTAACCTTTAATTCGTTTGTTCGATCTAAGTGAGATATTAAAGCTCCTTCAATCCCATCCCTAAAGGTCTTTGCTAATATCTTGAATGACTGGAATAAGGACACTTTCCACAATATTTTTCCTAAAAAGAATGAGCTTTGGGCTAGGATTGAAGGAATAAAAAAAAGACTAGCCCAAGGTCGTGACAAACATCTGTTAAAATTGGAGGCCAGCCTTTGAAGAGAAATGGATGATGTTCTAAGCCGGGAAGAATTGTTGTGGTTCCAAAAATCAAGGGTTGACGCGATTTGTGATGGGGATAGAAACACGAAGTTCTTTCATCTTTCAACAGTGATTCGAAGGAAGAGAAATATAATTGAATGCCTTTAAGATCCTGATGGTGAATGGATTCAATGCCCTGTTCGTGTGAAGAGTACGGTCTTAGAATATTGGAAAGGTCTGTTTCAAGAGGAACCTCAAACTTTTGTTGGTGAAAAATTGCTACTGGACCAATTTCCTTTCATATCGACAGGAGATTTGGAGAGTATTGCTAGGCCTTTTACGGGTTACAAGGTCAAAATGGCATTAATGAGTATGAAAGCTTTCAAAGCCCAGGGCCGGATGGTTTTCAACCACTTTTTTATCAAAAATTTTGGGATGTAGTGGCTCCAAACTTGATTGATTTAGTGAAGGATGTTTTAGCAGGCCGTATATTTCTTGAAGGGCTCAATGATGCTTTCCTCGTATTGATTCCGAAGATGGATAGCCCTCAAAAGCCGAACCATTTTCGACCTATAGGGCTTTTTAATATCACTTATAAGGTTGTGACTAAAGTGATTATAAATAGGCTTAAACCCTTTTACCGACCTTGATCTCTCCTACCCAATGTAGTTTTGTGCCGAAATGTCAAATTTCAGACAATATCATCATTGTGCAAGAAATGCTCCACCCTATGTGAAGAAAGCAAGGAAAAGTAAGGTGGATGACAGTGAAAATCGATTTCGAGAAGGCGTATGATAGGTTGCGGTGGTCCTTCATTCATGAATCATTACTTGAACTTCGCCTTCCGCAAGCCATGATAGATATTGTAATGAATTGCATTACTTCCGCAAAATTACAAATTTTGTGGAATGGAGAACCGATGGATGCTTTTTCTCCAAGTAGAGGAATCCGTCAAGGAGATCCCTTATCTCCATATATTTATGTAATTTGTATGGAGAGATTGGCTCACCTTATTGAGCATGAGGTCCGTGTTGGAGGGTGGAAGCCGGCACGAGCTAGTAGAGGAAGCCTGGATATTTCCCATCTTGCTTTCGCAGACGATCTTATCCTTTTTTGTGAAGCTTCGGTAGACCAAGCCGAGTGTATGAAAACATGCCTTGATCGATCATGCCTTAGGGTCGATGGTCAGCTATGAGAAATCATGTGTTTATTTTTCTGATAATACTTGCTGTGATATAAAGACTGCTATTTGTGAAGCTCTAAATATGGACCATACTGATGGTTTGGGCCGGTACTTAGGAGTGCCCACAATTAATGGGAGAACTACTAAGTAGGATTATCAATATCTTGTTGAGAGGGTTAATTCTAAGCTTGCAGGGTGGAAAAAGAAAACTTTATCTCTAGAAGGTCGTGCTACTCTTGCGCAAGCATGTTTATCTTCCATTCTTTTTTACACTATGCAGACCACGAAAATTCCAATGTCAGTGTGTGATGAATTAGATAGAAAGACTAGGAAGTTCCTATGGGGAGGACATGAGGAGCATCATAAGATACACCTTGTAGCATGGGAAAATATTACTAAACCAAAGATTGAGGGTGGTTTAGGATTAAGATCTATGCGTCAAGCCAATTCGGCTTACTTGGCAAAATTGGGCTGGAGGGTTTTAGCTGAGCCTCATTCTCTTTGGTCTCGAGTGTTGAGACACAAGTATTGTGGGGGTCGATGCGATATTGATATGTTCAAGGATAAGGCGGGAGCTTCAAATGTTTGGAAGGGCATTGTAAGCAATGTTGATATCTTGAAACGAGGAATGAATCTGGCTTGGGAAATGGAAAAAAGACTCTATTTTGGAAACATAGATGGGCTGTTAATGTGCCCCTTATTGAGCTTGCTAATCCAATCCCACCTGCTGCTACTCAGGATGCATTGGTGAAGGACTTTTGGGATCCTAATGTGGGTTAGAGATTTGAAAACTTCTTTGATTTTTTGGATCAGGAAATGCTAGAGGTGATTGCTTCTCATGTAGTGGAGGATGATAGTGCACTAGATGAAATTTTTTGGAATGGGGAACCGTCTGGTGGCTTCTCTATTGGTTCTGCTATCAATATCTTGCGAAATTCTACCCCCCTAGTGTTGAACAAAAGAAGTTATGGTCTACTATTTGGCGTGAAAAAGTTCCTTAGAGAATTTGTATGTTCATGTGGTTGTTAGTGCAAGATAGGATTATGCATAATAGAAATCGATTTATTCAAAAGCATGTTAATGATCCTAGATGTCGTACATGTCTATGGGCCTAATGAACAGTCTTCAAGTCACATCCTTCGAGAATGTCCTGCAGCAACGGTAGTATGGCGAAAGATGGGCTGGGATATGTCTGACTTACACATTTCTTAATCCTGTAGTGAGTGGATATTGCGTAATATTGATGCGCAGGTTGAAGGTAATTCAGAACACAAGGCTATGGTTTTTGATATTACTATGTGGTGGTTATGGAAGTGGCGAAATGCTAGATGTTTTGCCAAAGAAGTGAGTATCCTGATTGATCAAGTTGCCTTCATTTTAGCTAGGGTGGGGGATATGCGAAGGGCGTTAGAAGGTGTTATGTCTATTGCAAACTCTCTTCAGCAGCATAAAGTGGAGAAGTTTATTCGATGGGAATACCCTGACTTTGGGTGGGTTCGCTTGAATACAGATGTAGCCTTCAAAGGCAATCTAGGAAGAGCAGGTGCGGGGGGCTTGATCAGGGATCACAATGGGGTGGTGTTTGAAATTTTTGCTTCGAATTGCGGTATTTGTTCTAATGCTAAGGCTGAACTCTTTGGGGTGCTTCGAGGTCTAGCCGTAGCCTGGAACAGTGGTCATCGTAGAGTTAATCTTTCCGTGGATTCGGAAGTAGTTGTACGTATGTTAACCGAGGAAATCCTCCTCACTCTCCTTATATGCATCTCATCTTGAAAGTGTTCATCTCTCATCTCGCATCAAGGTTGGGAAGTGTCTATAGGGCACTGCTATAGAGAGGCTAATCATGCGGTTAACTGGTTAGCATACTATGGTGTCAACTCTGATCAGAAGGTGGTGATTTTTGAAGCTGTCCCGAGGGATCTTCGTGCCGTTTTATAGGAGGATTTGAGTGGAGTGGCTCGGACTAGGCTTATTGCTCCTCATAAGGTGTAATACTTAGTCGTGGAGCCTTGTTTTTTATTGCTTTGCTTTTTATTTTTTTTCTTTTGTTTGCTTTCTTCTGTTTTGGTTTGGTTTGTTTAGTGTGTTTTGTTTCTCTTCTTTGGGCTTGCCTCTCTTTCGCACCAAAAAAAAAAAATGACTCAAATTTGTCTCGAATAATTGATCCAAATTAAAGTTGTACATTGTAACCCAAATTTAACTCGTTCCCAATTAATTGACATGAAATTGTTGAGAGTAAGGGATATCTCGGTGGTTATAGACTTAGTGCTCCCCCTCCTAGTATTAGATGATTATGGGACCAATTCTCCTGACTCGTTTGTGGTTCCTTAAAGAGAGAGAGAGAGGGAGAGGAGAAAAAAAAAAAAAATTTGAAGTCTACAAAAAATAATCATGAATTTGTTTAGGCCCAAATTGAAATTGAACAATATTATAGTAGTAATTCACAAATGGCTCGAATTTTATTCGAATAATTGATCCAAATTTGTACAGAATGACCCACCAAAACGTGATCCAATCAAAATAATTGCCACTTCAATATTCACTAATAACTATGTACTTTTTAGTGCACATTTGCAAATTACTTGAAGAGATCATGTCACCCAATTTGCTGATTCCACGAGAACCTGAACCACAATGCGGATACTTCTCTAGAAACGTGAGTTGTCGACAATATTTGTATGGGTGTATGCATAAAATTGTGTTGGTATACGCTTTAAAATAAGTTCTAATAAAGATTAATAAAAGAGATATTCAACTTAACCCTTTGTTTAAAATAAAAATAGGTTCATTCTTATAAATTCAGATAAGTAAAAATTACGTAAATAGAATACATTTTTGAGTTTTGATATATATTAGATCGTGTAACACTACTGCACCACACAAGACTTATATCTTAGTTATCCTTCCTTTCCTTAATTTGATGGAAGTACAATACTCGGTAACGAGATCTTAAACATTTTTTTTTTATCTATACTATATCTTCGTAATGATTAGACTTAATATGATTAAACATGCGTTCGCTATCTAATAGAGTAGTAAAGACATACGATAGGGGAAAAGGAATGCAATCATTAGACCTAACTTGCATATGGATTATTATATAAATAAAATTATAAGCTGAAAATCCTTTGGCCAAAATATCCTAAAGTATATTCATTTTGCTTTGGAAAAAGAACTACTTCGTAGAAGTTATGCCGCTTGAAAAATTAAGATTATTTTTCCTTGTTATAGTTGTTAATGTAATGTTTATAACTTTGTTACACTAGTTAGACTGCCGACGTATTGTTAAATTATATTCTAATTTATTTATGCATGCTTGGTTAAGAACTTAATTTTAATAGTTAATAACTTAAATTAAAACGAAGTACAAGCCTAGCTAACAATTTTTGTGACTTAATATTCTTGTAAATTGATAGCTAGTGTCATATATATGAAATATAATACTGTTATACTCCTGCATTTTTAAGCTAACATATACGAATTACTAGTAATACTTAGGTTCGTATTACATATTCATGAAATATTTTATATTTATGCCAAGCTCAAAATAATATGGCTCGACATAACAATTGCAATAAGTTATAGGCGTTATATTGTATCTTCTAAATCTCTCAAAGCATCATGCAAATCATCGTTGCCAAGTTGCATGTACGTTGCCATGTTTCGAAGATTCGAAGTTTCTTCCTTAAGTTGGTTATTCTCTTGAACAACTTGATTATGAGACTCAGATGCATGATTAAGCTTTTCGACAAGTTCGTGGTTCTCACCCCTTAGCCGTAACACTTGTGACCATAGCTCATTTATTTGCCTCTTCTTTCGCATCCTAGAACGCCTAGCTGATTCTCGGTTAGACACCATCCTCCGGTGCTTCCTCTCGTCTATTAGATTATTATCTTGCTTATTCTCGGCCTCATTCGATGTTGAGCTAGTGTTATGTAGGTACCGAGCTTGAAGGTTAAATTCGTCGAAATTAAGGGAGGTTTGGTTACTAGGTTGTAGGTCATCTTGTATAAGGTTAAAATTGGATGGAAGCGAGTTTTGATACTCGAAAACCATATGATTGAGATCTTCAATCTTACATTGATTCATGGCTTATTTTTGGCTTAATTAAAGGTCAATTTAATTGTAATTAGATTATGGTGATTGTGAAAATATTTGCAAATGGAGGTAGAGATGCTAATTTAGAAATACAAAGGTGCTTTTATAAGACAAGAATCAAGGGTGTCATTTTAGTGGGGTGAGCTAAGCATAAAAGAAGAACAAAGTTAGGTGCTTACGCAATCTAACAATAATAGTACTATAATCTGTCCTGAAATACTCATTAGACTATTAAAGGATGCATCAATGATGTAAGTTATAACTTTATCCACTTATTACTCGTATTAATCATTGTTTAAGTTTGTCCAATCATTTTCATAGTAGTTACGTACCATATAGAGTTTGTACTCCTTACATACATTTGTTTATCGCGGCAATTTGTTATTGGTTAATGAATTGGATGAAGTGTTGCTCAACTTATTACTAAATGTATGATATCGATTGATGTATAATGTATTTTGCTTTAACGACGGAGAAAGCAGGCTAGGGTTGTAGGGAGAAAAGCTCACAGAAGTTCACTCAAAAAACGCAAGTTCAAATTATTTGAGATGACAAACCAATAAACCAATTATTCAAAATAGTTTATATTTTTAGTTGTACCTATCATGTATATATGTTACCTCTAGTCGTTTATGCGTGCATCAATACTACATTTTAGGTAGTATTCGATGAGGGATCCTGTTAATGTCTTAGTATTATGCGAATCATCAGTTATGTAGTGAGCAAGGATTTCATAAGGTACAGCATAAATCAGGTTCAATGGAGAGGCAGGTGAGACTTTTGTTAATGAACTTGAAAATAGTTTATATGCTTTTCTTAATGGTGGAATTGTTTAATATTGAAAGACAATGTCATTTTCTCTTTTACTAGAAGTGTGTCTACGAAGTCCCTTAACAATTTTAACACAATTAAACTAAACTTGATCTCTTGCAAATCTGAAAGGGCAGCATTTGTGTTAATAATAATATTGAAGGGGCAATAACCTTAAAGAGTTGCATAGCCATGCATATCCATATTTTTTATTTTATTTATGGGATCACTTCCATAATTCTCTTCTTGGTTTCACTCGGATCTTACCCTCTAACCCGGCTTTCGAATCCTTGTATGTTGCACTTGATCCACAGCGGTTACGATTCCTTCTTGGTTGATTACAATTAAGTTGCTGAAAAGAATAGAAGTTTCATGGAAGGCGATAAAGTTTAATCACATTATATATTCCTTAACCAACTCTAGTAGAAACTTCGAGCTCATTTTTTATTAATGATTAAAGTTATGCAAAATGCTTCTTCCTCTATTCTAAAATAACTGCAACAATTGACCTTTTGCATTAATCATACAAGTTAAGAGTTAATTATATTCATAAACTTGAAGATTTAATGTTTAAGTTTACTCATGTATATTTAACAATAATCTATAATAACAAAAATTAATCTAATTTCTTTTATTTGCTCATACATAGAACCTGTAGCTATTACTATTTTAAATATGTAATGAACTTTTTAAGATGATTTTTTTTTTCTATAACAATTGAAGAACGAAGTAAACTAAGCTAATAATTTTAGAATACTAGATATTGGATAATATATTTAGATGTATGTTATATAATGATTGAAAAAACACTTTTTAAATAGTACAAGTACTGAAGTATGTAACTAATTTAATCTATATTTATATTTCATCACATAATTTTTATTATAAAAGGTTATACATTTTTTTTGTGTGTGTGTGTGTGTGTGTATATATATATATATACGTCATTCGAAGCGCGCCTACGTAAAAGCATGTGGTGAATATGCTTGACACTCATAGAAAGTGGAAATTGACATATACGATTAGGGACACGATTAGAGACAAAGCAAAGTAGGGAGCCGCCAACAAGTTTTTAAGGAACTTGTAAACCGTTCACGGATCATTTAAAGCAACCACGAATAAGGGACAACGATAGGCAACAACGATTGACCCGTGAAGGTTACACCCCATTCATAATCCATGAGATTACTAACTCCATATGGTTCGGAACGACGAAAGGAGGATCAAGGATGATGGTACGAAGTGAGTCATGGAGTCACATTCGCCTGTATTGGCCTCTACTCGATTCTTATTGTGAAAAATGATTCATGCGATCTCAAAGGCATGCAAACAAAGATTCAATTTGTTCCAAACTAATATTAAGCTAAATTAGTTTAATGTTAATGCAACATATAATTCTAAAATATCGTGATCACTTCAATTAACAACAAGATTAAAAAGGAACCTAAACCGGTCGTCCAAATTATCTTATTAGGCGTACGAATTATTCCGTCGAAACATTAAATTTCCAATGGAAATAAAATCCGTCGGAAAATTAATTTTCCGTCGGAATATAATTAAATAATAAAAAAAAAAACTAAAAACCCAAAAAACCCTAATAAATTTCTCTCTCCTCTCATCTTCTTCTGTCCGCCACTCTTTCCTCATTTCTCTTTCCTCATTTCTCTTTCTCTCTCTTCTCCTCTTTCCTCTTCTCTTTCTCTATCTTCTATTTCCTCTTCTGTTTTCATCTCACACTCCATCTCCTTTTCTTTCCTTTCTCTTTCTCCTTTATTTTTGTTCTCCTTTCTTCTCCTTCCTTCTCCTTCTTCGTATTCGGTGAACTGTTGCATTTGAGGTATTTAGATCTCTCACGGAACGACAGACTTGAAGTGCTTCCAAATTCAATTATTCGGCCTCTTCGTCCTCTTCGACCACCACAAGACCAGCAGCAAAAACGACAACACCACCTACCACCGCAACGACACCAGCAGCAACGGCAACCAACAACGACACATTGTAATTTTTTAATTAATTTAAGAATACAATTGTATATATATTTATTTTGTTTGATTTCAATTTTTTTGTGTAATTTTTTCGGATCTCTTAATTTAATTATACGATTTGGGTGTTATGGATTTTTTTTTTGTAATTTTCGATTTGGTTTTTGTTAATTTTCGATTTGTGGGTTTTTTTCGATTTTGTTAGTTTTGGTCAGGGTGGGTGGGTGGGGAGGGGGGTCTGGTCTGGGTGGGGAGGGGGGGTCTGGGTGTGGGTGGTGGCCTGGGTGGGGGAGGGGGGATTCTGGGTGTGGTTAGGCGTGGTTATTAGGCGTGGGGGGTTATGGTTTGGGTTAGAGGGTTTTGGTTGGTGGTGAAGTGGGGTCTGGTGGGTTAAGGTTAGGTGGGTTAAGGTTAACGGTGGTAGGTTAAGGTGGTGGTTTACGGTGGTGGTGGTTGATGTTACGAGGTGGTGACACGCCCTGCCGGAGTTGGCAGGGCGTTTTTTTTTATTTTTTTTTTTGTAGCAGATTCCGACGGATTTTCCGATGGCCGGAACACCTCTTCCGATGAGAAAATTCCGTCGAAATTCCGTCAGAAAACACTGTTCCAACGGAAAAGACTGTTTTTCCTACAAACATGTTTACGACAACCTATTTCCGTCGGAATTCAAGGTGTTTCCGACAGAATTTTTCCGTCGAAAATAACTTGTTTTCTAGTAGTGATCGTGGAGAAACCCTAGAAAAACGCTGCGTCACGGCATGTGTGCCGCGATACGGTGCGATATACCGCGACACAGCACGAATACCGTGACGCAGTGTGTCTGCCGTGACACGGTGCACATGTTTTCCTTGAAAACAGTCCAGATTCATTTATTCCTTGCTTAATAATTAAGTACGTGATATGTTGTTTAGCTATTCCGGATTAATTTCAGGCTTAGGGTTTTTATTATAATTGGGCTTAATTAATAAATAACATGAAATGAATTAAAAGGGTTTGGGCTAAGATATGAGTTGGACTGAGTTTGAATAAATGTTTTGATTGAATATGTTTGATTCAACATGGGTTTTAAGCACTCCCAAGATTAAATACTCGACCCGCCCAATAATGGTGGTGAAAGGTATTCATCATCGGGTTTGGTTTTGGGGAGACATTTTTAGGTGTCTACAATATATATAGATATAATGACCCGGATTGCCCGGGCGAAATATTAGTTTATCACCCAAAACCCCTTCTCACTTTATATATTACTATAGATATCGACCATAATGTTTCACTAATATATAAAAACAAATATTGATATAGTTTTTAAATTCATCTTAATGTATATAATTTAATATATTATTTTTTCATAATTTTTACTAATAAATAATTATATATAATAAATATATTCATGGTCAGTTATTATTTTGATTTTTCTTAACCAATGGTCAAATTTTTGCATTAACCAATGTCAATCAATACACATATTTTGGAATGGCGGCGAAAGCGTTTGCAAGAGATGGCGCTCTCTTATTCAATATCCGTCGTTTTTGCGTCGTCGTCGGCCAGGGCAGCCGCGACAGTCGCCTCACACCTGTTAGAAAAATAAATGAACTAGCTCAATGGTCATAGCAAGTTGTTATAGTGGAATTTAATTAGCCTTGTGTTTTAGGGTTCAAGACTTTATCATTCATGTTTTTGTTTCATTTTTCTTTTCTACTTCTTACTTTATTTTTAATCTATTCTTTATTTTAATTTAACCATTAGCTTTTCTATTTTTTTTGGAAATTTAATTAAAACATATAATTTTCCTTAATTTTTCTTGTTTTCTTTTTGTATTTGTTTCAATTTTCCACCTCATTTTTTAAGTTTTTTTAGTTTCATTTTTATAGTCGTCTTCCAATTTTCTTATTTACTATTCTCCCGTCCTATAATATTGTACAAAAACAATTTGAGGCACTTAAAAAAACGAAGGAAACATTATAAAAGTATGTAAAATAAAATTAGATTGTTCACGACGTTTTAAAACACCAAAATTAGAGTACATGCAGTATAATCTGAGACAAAGTGGGTATAATAATTCTAATAAATCTATAAAAATTATAATAACACTATTCATTTTGAGTATATCTAAGGTACATATATGTTACTCCCACCAGTATGACTTTTTTTTTTTTTTTTTGGTTGCTATTTTTTTAAGTGATTTATTTTTTGGTTAATGAATTTTATAGATTAACATCTTTATTTGGACTGTAGCGTATTCGTACTTTAATTTAATACTATTTTTA